GCAGAGGCTTCAGGGTGTCAGGGCGTGAGGAGTTGGGGATTGTTAAACCCTTCATCGGGTGCGAACACTTCGGGATTGGGCTGTTCCCCCTTAAAATAACAGTCCTTAAGAGGGACTACAAGAGGGGGTAATCCCCATTAAGGCCTGTTCGTATAAGGGGGAACATCCCAACTTGGGGAGCAGATGCACTCAAACACTGCAGGCTGCCATGCTGCGGCAGCACATCAGGCGGTGAGTTGAAACAAGGGTTTAGGGTTTAGGGTTTAGGGTTTAGGGTTTAGGGTTTAGGGTTTAGGGTTTAGGGGTTAAAACCTGAACCCTGTCACCCTGATAAAGCCGAAAAGCGCAGGGCTGAGGATTGGAGCTTGCGGGAGGCCGGGTTGTTGGTGTTGGGTAAGGCTTGGTAACCTGAACCCTAAACCCTCTAAAACCCTCTAAAACCCTCTAAAACCCTCTAAACCCTCTAAACCCTCTAAACCATCTAAACCCTGCACGTTACCGTTACATCCGTAGATGGTCACAAGGCCCGCGGGAACTCGCACCGCCCACGCTGGCGCTAAATCACTGGGGGCCACCAGGGCCTGTCAGAGTGCGGTGGCTTGGGGATTCTAGGGTTTAGGGTTTAGGGTTCAGGGTTTGGGGTTTAGGGTTTAGGGTTTAGGGTTTAGGGTTTAGGGTTTAGGGTTGAAGGCTTTCAGGGTACTGTTTTTTTACACATGTCTAACTTCAACTGGGTGCTGTCTTTTAGACATGTCCAACAAGAGGCTTAGGTTTTCAGGGTTTTGGGGGTTGCTTCCTTCAAGCTAAGGGGCTTGAGAGTTTGGGGGCTTGGGTTCAAAAGCGTGGGGCATTGAGAGGGTTCCGGGTTCAGAGGATCTACAGTTTTGAGGCCAAAAGGGTTTTCGGCTGAAGGGTTTGGGTGTGTAGGTTTTGAAGTGTCTGGTGCAGAGGGCTTAAAGGGGTTTAGTAAACACTCCTAAACCCTAAACCCTAAACCTTAGACCCTGAACCCTGAACCCTAAACCCCAAACTCTAAACCCTAAACCCTAAGCCCTAAGCTGCGGATTTGGGAGACGTTGACCTTTGGAGTTTAGCGCAACAACAGTGGATCCACTCTAGGGGTCTGTGAATTCACGATAGTGCAAGCCCCAAACGCTGCAGCAATGCATCCTTACATCCTAGACCCTAAACCTAAACCCCAAACCTCTACATAACATTTCCTCAACCCTGAAGCCCTCAGCCTTATGAACCCGACAGCCCAAACAGAAACAAAGCTGGCATCCCCTCACGCAGCCTCGCTGCGTGGCGCAACCAAAGGAGAAGGTTTGGGGCTCAGTATGGCTGATACCTGGGGCTCTCACAGGGTGTGGGGTTCAGGGTTCAGGGTTTAGGGTTTTTTGGCTTTTTGGCGTTTGAGGCTTAGGGTTTGGGTCACTGGTTGGGCTCACCAGTTCTTGGCTCGAAAACAGGATTCTTGCGATTTGGGGGGCTCAAGCCAAATTGTAGCTTCAAGGCTGCCCGACCCTCAGAAAGAGAGAGAAGGGGTACGGGCCGAGTACACCTAAGCGTTGGCCTAAGGAAGGGAATCTTCGGGTGTCTTGAAAGGTGTGTTGAAGGTTTAATCTTAAAAGATGCCTGGGTGGGGGTGAGGTGGTCTGGGTAGAATGTAGGGATGCATGAGTTCGGGCTTTGTGGATATGCGAATTTATTCAGCATTGAGGGATGTATGGGCTTTTCAGGGTTGAGGGGCTGAGGCCAAGGCCCTACAGCCCCTGAACCGTCAGAGCAAATAAGGTTGTATGGTTTTAGGCGTACGGGGAGTGAGGATGCAAGGCTCCTCCACAGGAATGAAACCGAGATAAACATGCGTATGCTTAAAACACCCTGTGGGTTTTACGTACGAACAACCATGAACTCATAAACCAAATGTGAATATACACGCCCTGTGGAGAACATAGTGCGAAGACCTACCCTAAAACCTACCCTAAACCCTAAACCCTAAACCCTAAACCCTAAACCCTGAACGAAGTGAACTGGCGAGTCGCTACCTAGAGACACCAGAAGAAATGCTTTTGAACGAGCTGCAAGAACCCCCTTCTTCCCAAGCCCCATGAACCGTTGAGGGTTTGGAATTTAGGGCTGGTTCGGGGTTTAGGGCTTAGGGCTTAGGGCTGTGGGTTTAGGGTTTAGGAATTTAGGGCCTGTTTAGGGTGTAGGATTTAGGGCCTATTTAGGGTTGAGGGTTGATGGACAACACACCCCATGCTTTCACCCGGAACACGACCATACAACCCACAGAAGCGATGCGGATCCGGTGGGAGGCCTGGAATCATAGCGCGGGTCGGTGGACACCTTGGTCTCAAGGTTCTCTTCCCCCCGGTTCTTAGTTGGGCAATGAGGGAATTCGGGGCCTATGTATACCCGTTAAGGGACAATACAGGGTACCATAGGGTGCCTCATTCCCTCATTGCCGACTCAGAACTAGCCAGTCTTTTGCATT